TTGATGACCCGATATTACCCTAAAATTATATAAGGAAATTTTATTACATAAAAGCAAGCAAATTCATTTAATCATTATCATGCTAATTCTAACTTACCACGGCCCAAAGAACCGACTTTAACTTCATTATAACAGATATATCACGTGATTCTAGTCTGTGCTCCCTCACAAAATTTGCAAAATCATGAAAATGTCCCTTTTCTTTTAATAATTGACAACCTTCGTTGGTCTTTGCGAGTTCACCATAGAAATGAGGGGGGGATATTCCATCAAATGACTGCCTATTTAATGTTTATAATAAATTAATAAAAAAAAATTTTTGTTGCTCAAAAATTATTTCACTTACATTTTGACATCTTTCTCATCATCATCAACGTAGTTGTCATCGCCATCAAGCTTTAACGCTGTCGCCAATGCAACTTCCAATTGAGTAACGTAATATTGATTTCGACTCTAGTAAAATATCAAAAAAAATAAAATAAAATAAATATTAAAATTCATTATCGTTGTGATTTAAAAGTTAGTCAAAAATAATGATTACTTGGAACCATTCATCCATTTCTTTTTCAACGTAATCAAATTCAGACAGGTAATTAAATCCAATTGAAGTAGACAGAAATCTTAACAATAAAGGATTTCCGACTTCTCCCAAATGATCTAGACTTGGTCGAAGTTTAACTAGCAATTCAATATTTTCTTTGTGATTGCAAGTTTCTTCAAGAACACGAACTGCCATTTGACATACTTCCATAGCGGGATCATATAACTAACGGGTAATCATTATTCAATTAAAATAACAATTTTTTGATTTTGGTAATTATTAAGTAATTATAAAGGTATAATGCAATTTCTAACCAACCTGAGTTATAAGTAACTGTATTCCCCACTCATTGAATTTTTTCGAAGAAGTCCTTAAAACTTGACCCAAATGCTTTGTCGCATATAACCTTACACGCTATATAAACAATTCAATTTTAGATTATATTATACAGTAATATTGACAATTATTCAAATTCTGTCACCTTATAGCCAGATGTCATCACTTTTGAAAGGAGGATACGCGGGTGTCCATCTCTAATCAAACAAAACAATTTAACTTTAGAATAAATTTATATCCAATTAATTATTTTATTTTTATATATATATATACTTTATTTTTGGGAACATACAGACTATAATCCAAATTTGTGATAATAGCTTTGATTAAATCTTCACGGCTTCTCAATTCACTCAAATGATAAAATGTGTTGAAAATCTTGAATCTTTCCAATAATCTTATTGATAATTATAATTTTAATTAGTGACGTAGGATCGATAACAAATCATTAGACATAAAACACTAACCTAACACCCTCCTTATACTTGCTAAAATTCCCTAGGATGGTGAAATAGCCAGATGTAAGTGTGCTATTGATTCTCTCTTTAGAAAATAATGGCTCAATTTCGAAAGTTCCATGAATCTTAATAAACATGAAAATTAATAATTTAATATCATAATAGAACTTTTCAGCCATAGAAATTACAAACAATATAATAATAGGAATCACATACGGGATCTAGTTGGTTTAGACCGTCCGCAATTTGTCTTAAGAACTTGTTACCTTCCAAATATTTTATACCATCACTACATGCTAATAGTGTAGATATAAGAGTACATCCCATTTGCACATAACGCTCGCTTTCCTATTGGTATAAAATACTTTATTCAATTATTTTAGTCAATCATGATGATGATGATGAATCCATCAAAAATAATTACAGTGCTTTTTTCAATTTCGGAGAACCTTCGACTACTTGGTCGAAAAAATCCAATGAGACGTTTTACAAACTTGGATTTAATCGCATCTTCTAATCTTCGTGGGTTAAGTAATGGACCCTGTAACAATTCCATCACCGTTTCATAGTTCCATTTTGTACCATCTTTCGTGTTGAGTACCTACAATATAATCTTTCGTTATTAAAAGGTCTTGCCAGCGAATCAAATACCTGATCACTAGCAAAGATCCATTTTGTTTTTAGGAATTCCATAACAAACCTGTGATTCCAAAAGCATATTCGTAAAATGCCTATCGTCAATTTGCATACCCATTTTAATCTTTACGTTTTCAACCTGTCGAGCATTACGTCTTCGCGTATTAGGTAAATCAACAGTCGAATCGTCATTTACGTCATTAATTTGTAATCGATTTCGCGTTCTATTTAAATTGTCTATATGTGATAGAGCAGCCGTCGCACTATGCCGTACAATCTCATCGTCAAATTTGGTAGCTAAACTAAAAAGTCTCGGTAGAGACTAAATTTGATAAATTTAAGAATAAATAAATTTTATCAAAACTTTAAATCACAAAATTGGCTCACTTGAACCCGCATAGAACGAGAAACCGATAATAATCGATTAGACAATTGTAAAATTTCGCCAATGAAAAGTGTAGCTTTTCGAGCAACGTGTTGATTCTTGTCCTCAATAATTTCAACGAGTGCCTATGAAATATTCATTTAAAAAAAGAAAGGAAATGGTTTAAATTTTGTACTATTTTCTCTCAAAATATGATCTTTACATACATCAAGAAGTCCAGAGTCAATAAATATATCCAATAAGATAACCAAATGATGATCCAATAAATTCAATCTGTCCTGAATACTTGTAGATAAAGGTGGTGGTTCACCGTTATTATTACCTTCTGGTTCAGGACTACCATATACTATATTTTTTTTTTTTTTTTCAAGATTCTAAATTAAGTTATGCTTTTGATAAAGTCTCGACTTTTTTTTTTTAAAAAAATAAAAAAATAATAATAAATATATATATCTATACTATATATATTACCAGTTATCCTTTTTCCAGATAAGAAGCTAGGATACCATTTCGGAGTCTTTATCCTGAAAATGTTGAAAAACATATCAAGCATGATTTCCTATGGATTATAAAAAATTTCTAATTGGATAAGAGATCATTGTCATAAATCGTCCGATATTTAACAAATGATAAAATAATTTCATGTAAACCTAACACCTACTGACCCTCGTTTCATCCGAAGTTATTCTGAGCGATTCTACGATAGATTTTATTGCTTGCTTATTGTCTCTACAAAGAAATATAATCCCTGTCCAGGACTTTAATAGTACAGATATTGCTCTAGAGCTAGCTTTAATCTGCTGGTCAAACTTAGCGCCTTTATTACAGGCATCCGTGAATCCAGAAAGCACGATCTGATTAATATTAATTTAATTCGTGTAAATGACTTTGGTAAAATTGAACAAATCATAAATAATTTTTCTTCAAAATTATATCCAAACCTCCAAATCAATCCCAGGTCTAATACATTCCCTAGAATCCGGAGTATCAATTACATATAAAAAAGCCATCATTAAATATTCGGCAAGTTCCGCAGGTCCATCTATTAAAGCCTGAAGAAGCACTCTCATCCCACCGCAATGTGTAATCTTTTTTGGCTCGCGAATCACTGAAAAGATTTATATAATTGTGTCAATATATAAATAGTCCAAAGCTAATATAATTCAAATTTAACTAAATTATTCATACTTATTTCAGCCAAGGTTTCTAAACATATGTTTCTTAATTTCTCATCAGATTGTTCGGCAATTGATACAAGTGATCGCATAATGCCAAGAGATATAAATTTAATGCCACTAGGAATATCTGAAAAAGTTCGTAAAACTTTCAAAACTTGTTCTCTCTCATCATTGAATAATTTTGGATCCTTCGCCAATGATCTATATAAAATATCGTTGTTCATTATTTCAAATTTTAGAACAAATATAAATACATAAATAAATCACCTCATCATAAATATATCATAATGTAAATTCATTATTTGTTCTAATGTTCCAACGTCCGCAATCAGATATCTCAATGCTCGATATCCAGCAATTCTGACTTCTTTCACTGAATCCGATACACAAAATCTCAATCTAATTGAAACGAATTATAAATTAATATAAATAATCCAAGTATTAATCTATATAAGTGTATAAAATTGAAACATACCCCCTTAAAAAAGGTTCGGCCGGATATGTGTATTTTAATCTTTCGTGATTTTTAATTAACCGCACCAAACTATTTAATTTTTCAACACGTGTTGCAGGCTCTTCACCTCGATCTTTAATACAAGTTAGAACATCTTGTATTATTTCTGCTGGGGTTCTATTTTTATCTAATTCATTTGAATATATATACAATAAATAATTAATGAACTGATTAATGTTAATAATAATCTTTAATATCTACTTCGAAGTAAGAAAAGAAAAAAAAATATTAAACCTTCATCTCGTTCAACATCGGATTCTATTTGTCTTATTAAATTTCTTCTGACACGTAAAGAAGATACATCAGAAGGGAATGCTGCTATGCGTCGCCGATATGACCTCATACTCCCACCTTCATAATGAAAAAGTGCTTCAATAAAGTAAATTACTAATTTGATATGAAACAAAAAATTAAAAGCATACCTTCAACTTCAGTCATAATTTCTAGTTTTGGGTTTTCGTTCCTAAATTCGAGAATTTCGTCCGTCAACGTAAAACATTAAAAAAAGGAAAATCTGAAAATTTTAAAATAAAACACTCACTTCATGGGTTGAACTAATTACTAACGCGAAAAGAAAAAAAATAATACTGAATCTCGATTAGAGTAAATAGTTCAATGCTCTACATTTAAACGTTGCACATGTACATTGAGGTAGTATAATCAGATGATCTGATCTCGATCAAAAAATTCACTGACATAATAATATATGAATCACGTGATAATGCAAAAAATAATTTTGATGACATAGTATTTTCGTTATCATATTCGGCGTATACATATGTCAAACTTTAAAAATTATTATGTCGATCTGATGCATTCATGCCATTCCAGATTTTGTACCCGATCTTCATTTCTATACATACAAAACTCGTCTAAATAAAAAATTTTTGATTTTATAATTTTTAAATCAATAAAAAAAACTTTCTCTGGTGCTGCCAAAGAAAAGAAAATTATGACGAGACATCGTAAACAGCGCGTGAAACGTAAGGGCTCAGTTTCCGAAGAATTAACAAGCGATACCGGAACTGATGTAACTGATACTGATTTATCAATTACAACGGCAACACCTTCACCAAATTCTGATTCATCTAAATCTTTTATTAAATCATCTGAAACTTTGCGTAGACGTAAAGATAATATCACTGAAACAGCTGAAGAAATTTTGAATACTACATACTTTCTAAAACCTGAAGAAGACAGGCCTTTTCTTACAAAGAAACGTGTCGTGTTCACTGCTGGTATCATTCTTGGACTTACCATTGCGTGGTTAATGGGACAAAGAAGGACTGAGATTTCTAATTATATCTCAGTTGCTTTTTCTGATTTGGATTTTGCTAGCATTTTACCAGCAAATATTCTTGTGGATGAACTACTGGGTAATATTACTTTATTTCTCAAACCGAATTTAACACTCTTGGAAGATAAGGAATTTTATCCTGCTCTGGATTTGATTGTTGAGGGAGTGAAATCACATCATCCGGTTGTTTTGATTCCAGGAATTGTCTCAACTGTAAGTATTTAATATAAGCTATCGGGTTTATATGCTCTTATTTATATATGCTCTTATTTAATTATCAATATCACAAATAACTAGGGTTTAGAAAGTTGGAGCACGTCTAATTGTTCACGACCGTATTTTCGAAAGCGAATGTGGGGAACAACAAGTATGTTGATCATTCATTCATGATCCATATGATTCGATAAATTAATATAATTTAAATTTTTAGCAATGTTCCGTGCTGTATTATTGGATAAAGAGTGCTGGACTGAAAACATGAAACTTGATCCCGTCACCGGTTTGGATCCACCCAACTTTAAATTGCGGGCTGCACAAGGTTTGAATAGTTGAATTAAGTAAAGTGCAAATTTCGTTCCGTAACATAAATCATATCTTTTTTCTTTTCTTTATTTAAAGGTCTTGATGCAGCTGATTATTTATTCCCAGGGTAGGCAGTCTATTTTTTTGCAAAATTATCATCAAACTTTATACATAAGAAATTTATTTATCATTTTCTGGTCATTAATAGGTATTGGGTATGGGGTAGGTTTATTACCATCATTTGATTAAAGTTCTTTTATAATTATATTATTGTTCATATCTGATTTAACTATTATAGGCAAAATGATTCAAAATTTTGCGGCAATCGGTTATGATAATAATAATATGCATCTTGCAGCCTATGATTGGAGACTCTCATTCTATAATCTTGAAGTTAGGGATCAATATTTCTCCAAGCTTAAAGCGACCCTTGAACTGGCCAAAAAAATTGACGGAAGGAAAAGTGTGGTAGTCAGTCATTCAATGGGTTTGTTGATATATATGTATATTTGTATATATGTCTTTTTTTTTAATATTAATCAGAAATCAAAATCAAAATTTATGTATAGGTGGATTGGTAACTCTTTATTTCTTTAAATGGGTCGAATCGCCTACAGGAGGAAATGGAGGACCAAATTGGGTGAATGAATATATAGAAGCGTTTGTTAATATAGGCGGACCATTGTTGGGCTTGCCTAAAGCTTTGTCGGCATTACTTTCAGGTATTTTCTCATTCAAATTATTTTTTCCTACTTTATTTTTATTTAAGTATAACTTTATTTATTTCTACATTCACTTATAGGTGAAATGCGTGACACTGTTGAATTAGGGGCCTTTGGAATTTATGTTCTTGAACGTTTCTTCTCAAAGTTGGAACGCGCTGGCCTGTTTCGCACTTGGGGAGGTCTTTCTTCAATGTTACCTAAAGGCGGTGAAGAAGTCTGGGGTACAGAACATCAAGCACCTGATGATCGTAATGATGTTGATGAAACATATGGTTCCATGTTAACAATCCGATCGTTAATTAGAAAGAAAGATAATAATAGTAATACAAATGCTAGTAGTACCCATAAGTCCGAGAGAATAAAACATCACTCTTGCAAATCTGGTGTAAACCTTTTACTAAAGTCTACACCTGATTTTAGTGAGATGTTGACAAGAAATTATAGTTTTGGGATAACCAGTAGTGAAGAAGAAATGCAAAAAATGAAAGAGGATCGTACCAAATGGACAAATGTGTTGGAATCACAGTTACCTAATGCGCCTAATATGACGATATATTGTTTGTATGGATATGGAAAAGAAACTGAAAGAAAATATTATTATTCACTTGAAGATGATGATGACGACGACTACAACGTTGATGATGACGTTCAACGTTTCGGAGAGAAAGTTAAAAGTTTGTTAAAAAATATATTCATCGATAGTTCAATGAATTCTGAAACAGACCCCAAAATAAAAAGTGGAGTACATAATGGCGAAGGGTTAGTACAATAGTATGTTATAACTATTTAGTGAATATTAAATAAATAATTTTAATATATATATATATTCTTTTTTAAGAGATGGTACGGTGCCACTACTTTCTTTAGGATACATGTGTACTAAAGGATGGAAAAATCCCTTATATAATCCAGCAAAAATTAAAATAATTACACGAGAATTTCAACACGAGGTAGGACCAGCTTTTGATTTGCGTGGCGGAGCAAAAACATCGGATCACGTTGATATACTTGGAAATTACGAACTCACGGTAAAAAAAAAAATTTTTTTTCATGATTTTCTTTACTCGTCATCCATTAATTATAATCATTAATTTTATTATAGAGGGATACATTGAAAATCGCATCTGGAAGGGGTGGAGAACTTGATGATCGTATAACCTCGGCTATTCGAGAATACTCCGCCAAAGTTAAAATATAAAAATGTACAGATATTTATTTGTTCAAATTATCGTTATGATTAACGATTATTTGTATGTATGTCGTTATACAGAACTTTTGACTTAATTAATTTTAATAACGAGCGATACCTTTGAAAAAATGTAATGCAATAATAGAACATTCAGGGGACATCGGTGTTACAAGAACATAATTATATTTATTTTTCCCATCTAAAATGTCTTTGTTGATTGAATATTAGATGATGTTCATTTTCATTTATTTTATCCCGGATACTATACTCATCATGTCCATCCTTATTTTTTCATCTATCTCGGAAAGAGCGGAAAGGACGCGTCTCATATTCCGAAAGGTTCTGCCTCTATAAAAGATATCAGTATTATTAAATGTAAAATTAAAATTACATAAACAGGAATTCTCTCACATTCTTTCTTGCAATCTCGCATTCCTGAATTATTCCTTTCCAATATTCCTCCAAATCTTTCACATGTCGGGAACGTTCTCTGTTTTAGATGAAGTTAATTTTTATTTAGTAATTAAGGGAGACCTTTATTAACGACCAAGTTAGGTGGTCATATCCAGTAATTCTCCCGAGCAAAAACGCGCTCGATCAGAAATTACCCTCCTTTGCAAAATAAAAAACGTACCTTGTCTGCTAAAATCGTGAAATTTGGATCACTCTTGCCTCCGCTAAAAAATGGTCAACCCACATATTATCGAAGTCCTGCCAAGAAGTAGCTGGAGTGATATCGACGAAGTAACAATACTTCTTGATAAACATTTAATATAATACATTATGTCTACCTCTCTTGCGTGCCTTAGTTTGATAGGAAAATTTGGAGGTTTCAAGCAAGTTTGTGTTGAATTGTGTAAACATTGATTTAGCATATCGACCGAGTTTGGCGATTAATCCAAGTGGAATCTATTTGGTAAGATAAATCGTTCTGGCATTGCGCAAAAATACGATATAAAATAGTTTGTCTCAACTTTTCGTAGACTGAATAAATCACTTTAATGAGAATACAAAATTGATGTTATCTCGAACAATATTTACTTTATCAAGCACATAATTCCAATCTTTTTCGTTAAAGCTTCTCACGATAATACTCTACTATGAACATATAAACTTATATACATTCAAGTTTACAAATTACGATTTACTAATTTCACCCCCAGTTTCCTATTGGTTTACGTTATTATCCTTTCTTATTGGTTTATTTCCGTCACGTGTTATTGAAATACCCGTTAAATTTGTCCGAAGTCTCACAAAACTCGTAGAAATTTCCGCGGACTCAGACGTCAAAATTTCTGACCTTCCGTTCCAGAGAGCGTCATCTAATTGATTAATGTGATTGACTCATTGATTGATTTGATTGATTTGATTGATTGACTCGTGAGCAAATAAATGCAAAAAAAGTATGATTAATTCAAAATAAAGTAAAAAAAAAAGTATTTTTTCAAAAAATTTTTCTCAAGAGAAAATACTTTTTGATAAATAAAGTTCTTCTTTCTTCTTGAAAATTTTATTTGAATGGCTTCAAATATTCTTAACTTCACATTTTTATTAATATCGATATTTCAGATTTTAATGAAAATGTGTAGCTTTTTTGTATACTTTTGATCATTTAAATTTTCATAAATACAGATTTTATTACATCTTTATTGCCTTTATGGTCAAGTATAGGAATTTCTTTGATTTCAAAATTATTTCACTTTTGCAAACAAATTTTTTCATTAGTGTTTTATCACATGATTATCGAAACCTCACTATTTACGATATCAATACCTTTTGATATTAATACAATTTTTGATATTGATGAAGGTATCGATGAAATAAATATAGATACGAGCGATGGTGATATTGATAATATTCTTGATTTCATTTTAGATTCGACAGACGGTATGGGTCACATGTAGGAAATGGTAGAGGATAGTACGATACTAGAAGGAAAAGCTAAAACAGAAAGATTTAAAACTTATTCACTTCCAGTAGAAGAATATATAAATTGGATTAAAAGTTTTGAAAAAGTAGGGTTTAGCTATATTTGAAATAAATGTCGAAACCAATTTAGTGGTGTCAGAAAAAGATATAGATGGACAGAAAGATGATTGTGTCATCGTTCTGGAAAATATAAAAGCGTTGCTGGGGAAAATCTAAACAAAAAGTCACAGTTAGCACAAAAGGAGACAAAAAGTGTGATTGTAAAAGTTATATTCACATCATACTTCCTATTAATTCATCAACAGTAATTCTGCAACATTATTATAAGCATATTAATCATTATCCTGGTCATTTAACAGATTTATACTCGTTACGTCTTTCTGAAAATATAAGATACTTTATTTAATAGCGCGCGCTTGAAAGGCTTAATGGTCTGAGCATACATAAGATGCTACAGCTTAAAGCAATTGAAATTCAGGATCAGGTAATAGAGGAATATAGTAATTCCAAAAAACATTTACAGGAGATTCAAATTTTACGAGATAGCTTAATAACAAGAGATAATATTTACATAATCGTGTATAATACAATAAAAACGCTTGCTTATTTTGATCAGGATGAATTAAGATCTTTGGAAAAATGGTAAGAGAAGCTAATCAATACAGGTGGTAATTGTTTATTTAAATGGAATAATGAGATAGATGAAGTGGATTTCATGTTCGCATTCCAAATGAAAGATCAGCATGAATTAATGAAGTTCTTAAGAGTGTTATGCTTAGATGGTACATATAGGATGAATCACCATAGTTATCATCTTTTTACCCTCATTATATGACATCCGACAACAGGAAGTGGGTATCTGATAGCATTTTTAATAAGCAAATATAAACGAACGTTAATATTAAAAAGATGGCTTACTTTCTTAAAACAAGAGCATAATGAATGGTGTCCAGATATCTTTATGGTTGATGATGCAGGTGAGGAAATTAAGACGGTTGAAGAATGTTTTTCAGACAGTTCAGTGTTATTATGCCATTTTCATGTGTTGCATTTATGACGCAGAAGTAGTATTCTGTAAAATCAGATTAGATCAGATTTTATCCAAATCTGATCTGATCTGATTTTCATTTTTCAGGATCTGAATCCGATCTGAATCTGACGAATCTGTTGAAATCCAGATCTGATCTGAATCTGACGAATCGAATCTCAAATCCAGATCTGACAGATCGGTTTAAATCTAAATTTGATCTGATCTGAATCTGACGGATTGAATCTCAAATTCAGATCTAACAGATCGGTTTGAATCCAAATCTGATCTGATCTGAATCCGAAAGCTTTATTGAAAAAATAAATTTTCGGTTTTAAATGAGATCTGAAAATGTTTCTTTTCAATGAAAGGAACCTTTTCGGCTCTAAGAGAGTTCTGAAAGTTCGTTCCTTTTCAATGAAAGGAACTTTTCAGCTCTAAAAAAGGTCTGAAAATTCGTTCCTTTTCAATGAAAGAAACTTTTCGACTCTAAAAAATGGTCCAAAAATTCGTTCCTTTTCAATGAAAGGAACAAATTTTCAGATCTAAAAGTGTCTGAAAATTCGTTTCCTTTCAATGAAAGGAACTTTTCGGCTCTAAAAGAGATCCGAAAATTAGTTCCTTTTCAATGAAAGGAACTTTTCAGTTCTAAAAGAGATCCGAAAATTAGTTCCTTTTCAATGAAAGGAACTTTTCATTTCTAAAAGAGATCCAAAAATTTGTTCCTTTTCAATGAAAGGAAACAAATATTCAGCTCTAAAGAAGTCCGAAAATTCATTCCCTTTCAATAAAAGGAACTTTTCGACTCTAAAAAAGATCTGAAAATTGGTTCCTTTTCAATGAAAGGAACTTTTCAGCTCTAAAAGAGATCTGAAAATAAATGCCTTTTCAATGAAAGGAACTTTTCGGCTTTAAAAAAGGTCTGAAAATTCGTTCCTTTTCAATGAAAGGAACTTTTCAGTTCTAAAAGAGATCCGAAAATTCGTTCCTTTTCAATAAAAGAAAACAAATATTCAGCTCTAAAGAAGTTTGAAAATTCGTTTCCTTTCAATGAAAGAAACTTTTTGGCTCAAAAGAGATCTGAAAATTAGTTCCTTTTTAATGAAAGAAACTTTTTAGCTCTGAAAAAGGTATGAAAATAAATTTCTTTTCAATGAAAGAAACTTTTCAGCTTTAAAAAAAGTCCGAAAATTCATTCCTTTTCAATGAAAGAAGTAAATTTTCAAATCTAAAAGTGTTCAAAAATTCGTTCCCTTTCAATGAAAAGAACTTTTCAGCTCTAAAAGAGATCCGAAAATTGGTTTCTTTTCAATGAAAGGAACTTTTCAGTTCTAAAAGAGATCTGAAAATTTGTTCCTTTTTAATGAAAGGAAACAAATATTCAGCTCTAAAGAAGTCTGAAAATTCGTCTTTTTTCATTGAAAAGGAACTTTTAAGCTTTAAAAAATTTGAATTCAGATCTGACAGATCAGATCTGAATTTAAATCTGAATCTGACGAATTAGATCTAAATCTGAATCCGAATTTGGCGGATCTGATCTGATCCGAATCCGAATCTGAATTAGATCTGAATCTGACAGATCCGATCTGAATCTGATTCGTCAGATTCAGATTGGATTCAGATCAATCCGAATCTGTGCAGAATACTAGTAGCAATTGTACGAAAATGTGTTTTTAGGTAGGTTGCCGTACCCCTTAATGGGATCAGAGACTTAAAGAGGTTACTTAACGTGAAATAATACTTGTCTTACTTAGGATATGCCTCTACTAATTCTCTAGTTGCTGCATATTAATAATAAAAAAAAAAAAGTTTCAGAATTTCAAGTATATAAAATACTCAAACACGTATTTGATAATTAATTCTGAATTAGGTCTGATTTCAAAAGTAATAGATTCCTTGTCTTTATATTGTTCAAAAAAAATAAATCAGATACTTTATTTTCTGACATCAAATTTATGATTTTTGATGCATGTACTTCTGATAATTGTCATGGCTCATACCCAGTTTCTTTTTTATATTTTTTGTATAAGCTGGATCAAATCTTATTCATCAA